AAAAAAAAAAAAAAAAAAAAAAAAAAAAAAAAAAAAAAAAAAAAAAAAAAAAAAAAAAAAAAAAAAAAAAATTCTATCTTATTTCATTTCTGTGACAGTTGATATCTGGCTGTCCTTTTTTTTAATGCAGAGTGAGAATTTTCCCTACCGTGTTTGATAAATGTTGTCAAGATACCATTGCCAAGAATGTGTTGTCCAAAATGCCTGTAGTTTTTAAAGATGGAACTCCACCCTTTGCTTGGTTTTAAGTATGTATGGAATGTTATGACAGGGCATAGAACTGGTGGTCAGACATGGAAATGGTGGGGAGACAAAAGTATACATGTGAAATAAAACTCAGTATTTTAATAAAGTAAAAAAGAAAGAAAGAAAAAAAAAAAACTCCTAACTTAGGTGATCCACCCACCTTGGACTCCCAAAGTGCTAGGACTACAGGCGAGAGCCACCGCGCCTGGCCCCAGACTGATCTTGTACGTAAGTCCTATAGGAACTTCTCATTGCCAGTGTCTCCCAGCAGGATCCTCTTGTGAAAGATGGTCGGCTGCTTTTGGTAGGCACAGTCAGTCCTGGATTTAAGAGAATGACTTCTTTAAAGGTTTGAGCCTCCATTAACTTGCAGAGACCCCAGCATTTAGGAAGCACTAATCTAAATTGGGGCAGATGCATACACTTTTGCACCCCACTTATCCCTAGTGAGTTGGGGACACCCAGAATTAACCCCCAAACTGAAGCACAGAGTTCTGCCGTCCTGGACATGCCCTTGAGGTCTGGGGAGGACCTGAAGCCTTGGCATGAGCCCCAAGCCCACTGAAATTTGCCATTTCAATGATTCCCATTCCTACTGTCCTTGAAATGATAGGCTCATTAAACACCATCTCTCAACATGACCAACATGAAGCTCTCTGAAATTGAGCAACAAGCACACATTTCACACAGCTACCTTAAAAAACATTTAAATACCTGCCATAGGTTGAGTTCTTGGCAAAAACGCCAAGTTGGAGATTCACGTGCAGAAAGTTTATTGCAAGGAATTATCTGCGTCAACACCTGTTGGGGAGTAAAGGCAGTAAAAGGGTAGAGGAAGACAAACGCCTCAGTCAATCAGGAGCTCAAAGTAGGATGGCAGCAGGATGCCCCAGTAGGGCAAGTGGGCTGGACCTATGTCTCCCCACCTGACCAGAAAAGGAGTATAAGTTTGGGTGAGTGGCTGACTTCAGCCAAAGGCAGTCCCCGGATGGGGCGTGGGTGACACCTGTGCTGTCAGCATTCTCAGCAGCTTCAATCCTGAAGGGGAAAATATGGGCCACATACCACAGTCAACATGACAGTCCCCCCCCTTGCACTGCTCAGATTGACTGGCTTCATTAGTTCTGGGATGGTTTCTTCAGGATTCTGATGGATCTCTTTCTGGGGAAACTTAAAAGAGGAAGGTTTGGGACAGACCACAGCCTCTGCCGCTGTGGCTTGAGTTTGCAACTGACACTCACCTCCCTCCTCTACTTCCCCATTGTTGATCTTTCCCCAACCCCCTCAGACTTGTACTTCTGGTTCATGTGGGTTACCAGATGACATACCTGGCCATCATGCCCTTCTCAGGCCATGACTGCACTTGTTCATTTACCATCAAAATTGGGTAAGGAGAGGCCGGGTGTGGTGGCTCACGCCTGTAATCCTACGCCTTTGGGAGGCCAAGGTGGGTGGATCACCTGAGGTCAGGAGTTCAAGACCAGCCTGGCCATCATGGTGAAACCACATCTTATAAAATATATATATGTGTGTGTGTGTGTGTGTGTGTGTGTGTGTGTGTGTGTGTGTGTATAAAGGAGAGAAAAAAAGAAAAATAAATAAAATTGGGTAAGGAGAGGCTCCTCCAGGCACAGCCTGTGGGTGGCCCTACTCTGCAAGGAGCGGTCAAAAAAAAAAAACTGGGTAAGGAAAACCATACTGAAATGGATGATCTGGGTGTCAAGTATATTCCTCCCTGTTCCCACTGAGTAGTAGTAGTTCTGCCTCCTGACAGCGACTCCTTTCCTTGCCTTCTTGTCTCTTGGTAGTGATTTGAAGTAATCTAGTGCCTGCCATAGCTTTAAAGTTTAGTGAGACTCAGTGTGTCCACTGGTGCAAAACATTCCCATTCTGGGGACCAGGACTTCTAAACCCTTAGAGTCCAGAGTTGAGATAGAAGGCACAGATTCCCCTGTCGCGTCACTGGGAGCGATGACAATGGCAGGCTGCTTCTACAGCCGCCCCTTGTTCCCCTGAGCCACTATTTTCCTTAAGGATACACTACTTGATGGCTGTTGATATCAGATATGTACTGCATCATGGAGGATGATGCCTCCTCCTTACAGGGTATCATCTCCAATCTGGTGCCACTGGACTTCTAAAAACTTCACTGATCCTTTAGCAAGCACTCTACCAGGGAGCAGCTGCTGCATATTATGGTATGTGATTAAAGCAGATTCCATCATTGTGTACCCAGTGTTGTACCTTCTTGCTATCAAGTGGGTCTCTTGGTTTGATGCAACGTTATACAAGATTTCAGGCAAATGGATCGAAATTTTGTAAACCTTTGGATGGTGTTGCTGACTGAGGCTGTGCAGGCAGGAGAGGCAAACCAGTTCCAATAATATACATCAATGCCCCCTCAAGATAGAACACTTCCCCTTCCAAGGTAGCAGGGACACAGTGGAATCAACTTACCACCAAGTGGCTGGATGGTTTCCTTGAGGAATGGTGATATCAGGCTGCGTGTTGGTTATCTGTTGCTGGCAAGCTGGACATTCACTGATGCAGTAGTTAGATCAGACTTGATGAGTCCATGATGTTGAACCCGATGAATTACCTCCACCGTGGTCCCTCCATCCATATGATCACTTTGCCAGCATTGGGGTGCCAACAAAGCCTGGTTAACATTATTTGGCTAAATCATTCCATCTGCTTGGTTGGTGCCTTTCCTGTGGTGGATGTTATCTGAGGTACAAAAATCATCATGCTCTATACCCATTCTCAGGTACATTATGTGCCTTTTTTCCAGACTTCCTTGTGTTTGATCTTCCAGGCTCCTAACCAACTCGCTAATTCATTAACCATTGCCCATGAGTCTTATATATACTTCCTTCTGGCAGGTGCACAGATCATCTCTAAGTGGGGCCATAGCGCAGCCACAGTGTACTTCCAGCTTACTTTCACCAACTGAGACAGCCCGTACGTTCACCACACTCAACCTTTTTCCTCTTCTGTCATCAGGTCATGAGGGATCTCTGATCCATGTGGCTACAGATGTAAATTGAGAAGGAAGCACCAGTGCAACAGTGGTGGGTGACAGGGATCTGGGCACCTGCTTATGTAGCTCACTTTTGCCTTGCAGCCCTGCTTGTGCCCAATTCTATATATGCCACTTTGATTTTATGAAGGATGACTGGTAGACCCACCCAGCCTTATGACTTGTGGGTTTGACAGAAGCCAGGTTATCATACATCACTTAATGTCCCAGAGCCAAGCACACTGTCCCAACTCGGACTCAGGAGCATTCCAGGAGCTATCTTTTGAAAGGTGTGTAATGCTCTGTTTCAGATGGCACGGCATTGCTCCAGCACTATAGGGGGCTGTGTGTGACTTCCTATTGGGATTTGTCACGAACAGTATATGATCTTTTCTCACCATTGAAATCTCAAATATAATACGCTGTCTTGTGGGCCAAGCAGCAGGGCCGTTGGTACCACAGTCCTGACCTGCTGCAGAGCTTTTTCCTACTCTGGGATCCACTCAAAGTTGGCAGCCTTTTGTGTCACCTGATATTTTGGTCCGAGCAATATTCCCAAGTATGGAATATGTTAGCAATAGACCTCAAGACCTTTGCAAGGCATCGTGCTTTTTAGTGGTGAGAAACGTGAGATGCAAAATTTCTCCTTATCGTCTTGGGAGGAAACGTCCTGGTACACTCCACACCACTGGACTTCTAAAAACTTCGCTGCTCTGGCAAGATCCTGAATATTTGTGGGGTTCTGGCACTACCATTTGAAGATCTATCCTGCTGAGGCCTCTGATACGGGATCCTTTCAGGTTCATCCTGTACAATTACTATGATCTCATCAGTGCAGTCATGGGATGCCCTATGGAATGTTCAAATGGTCCAGGTCCCTTCGGACTGTATTATGACAGAGGCAGGAGAGTTGACATGGTCCAGATGTAAAACTGTACATGTATATTATTGCACATCTCAGTAGTGAAGGCAAACTTTTATGATCTTCCTTTTTTTTTTTTTTTTTTTTTTTTTTTTTTTTTTTTTTTTGAGACGGAGTTTCGCTCTTGTTACCCAGGCTGGAGTGCAATGGCGCGATCTCGGCTCACCGCAACCTCCGCCTCCCGGGTTCAGGCAATTCTCCTGCCTCAGCCTCCTGAGTCGCTGGGATTACAGGCACGCGCCACCATGCCCAGCTAATTTTTTGTATTTTTAGTAGAGACGGGGTTTCACCATGTTGACCAGGATGGTCTCGATCTCTTGACCTTGTGATCCACCCGCCTCGGCCTCCCACAGTGCTGAGATTACAGGCTTGAGCCACCACGCCCGGCCTATGATCTTCCTTTTTACAGGGATGAAAAAGGATGCACTGTCCAAATCAATACATAACCATGTAGCCTGCGTTAATCTTTTTTAGCAAAGATACCACATTTGGAACAGCAGATAGAATTACCACCGTGTGTTGATTGGGAGTACAGTAATCCATATTCATTCTCCAGGATCTGTCTGATTCTAGCAGGGGCCAGACTGGTGAATTAAATGGCAATATGATGGGCACCACCCCTGCATCCTTTAGGTCTTCAAGAGGGGCACTAATGGAGTAATTTTTATTTATTATATTGGTCTGGAATGGTGGAGGCAGTTGCAGGCACTTCATGTTGGCCTTCCTCACTATGATAGTTCCTACCTCACACACCAAAAAACCAACGTGGTGGTTCTGCCAACTGTCAAATATGTCTATTCCAACTTTCCATTAAGGACTCGTGACATAACCAGCAGGTGAGTCTGTAAACCTAGTAGACCTACTGAGAGCGAGACCCGGGCAGGAATACATTTATTACCTACCCTCCACACCCTGCCACTCTAACACAAGTGTTGACTGCGGTCCATAATGGAGCTTAAGATCCTAGGGTGTCAGTGTCAATGGACTCTATCCAACAGTGCTTGAAATGTTTGGATAGTCCACTTTCTCTCATGTGTGATATGAAAATAAAAGGTCATAGGTCCCTGTGGGTTAGGATTGGGAAAACCACCTTATATACTTGTCATGGTGTCTCAGGGTCCTTTCTGCTAGAGACGTAGCCTCTTTAATAAATCGTTTCCAGGTCAGGTATGGTGGCTCACACCTGGGAGGCCGAAGCGGGTGGATCACCTGAGGTCAGGAGTTCAAGACCAGCCTGACCAATATGCTGAAACCCGTCTTTACTAAAATTACAAAAATTAGCCAGGCGTGGTGGCATGCAACTATAGTCCCAGTTACTTGGGAGACTGAAGTAGGAGAATCGCTTGAACCTCGGAAGCAGAGGTTGCAGTGAGCTGAGATTGTGCCATTGCACTCCAGCCTGGGCAACAGAGACTCTGTCTCAAAAATCAAACAAAATAAAAATAAATAAATAGTTTCCAGCTGAAAAATTGGCCCAAGAAGACTTTCACTTCTTCCAAGAAGGAATTACAGCCACAGACATTGCCCTCCCACTATAAACAACTATGAAACCAGTTAAAATTATGAAAGAAATATTTCTAGACATTGGAAAGCAGGCAGTACAGAATTTTAACTTTGAAAAGGGAAACGAGATGAGCCACATGACTGCCTCGGCTTACTGCCTAGAGGCAGTCTCCTGTACTGTGCTGTAAGGAGCAGTGCAGAGAGGGGAGCCCCAATAGAGAGCCATCAGTCTCACTGAGTGGAGAAAACAGGGATTACAGTTGGTAGAGGATGAGTTGGCTAGAAATTAAGAGGGAAAATGCTGGAGACAAGGGAATGACACAGAGAGAGCTTTGGAGATCTGCAGAGAGGTCCCAGACCTCAAAACTTTGGCTGAATACTGATATGTACCTCACTGAGGTAAAATTCCACAAGGCAGGGGGTTAAAAACAACAGAAAATGACAGGCCAAACAATTCTTAGAGCTTCTACAACATTTGGAATCTTTTGTTTGTGTTCCTGACAGCCCATATGAATCGATCCTGTAATACACGGGATATCACAGATGAGACGTTAAAAGGATGCAGTAGTGGTTGCTGGAATAAAGGCTACTCTGGATCCACCATGCAAAGCCTGAAAGCAAGCACTGATGATCAAACTGATACCAAGCATGCCAAAACCAAGTCCAACGCTCATCAGAGAAATGCAACAAAACCTAGCACTGAACAAAATTAAGTTCCCAGTGTTTGACATTGAATTTCATATTGTCATACTGAATGTGGTGGCAGGTACCTGTAGTCCCAGCTACTCTGGAGGCTGAGGCAGGAGGATCGGTTGAGGCCAGGAGTTTGAGGCTGCAGTACACTATGATCACACCCAAGAAGAGCCACTGCACTTTAGCCAGGGCGACACAGTAAGACTCCGACTCTTAAAAAAGAAAGTATTATAAAAAGAGATAGGAAAACACTACCCAGAACCAAAAGAAACAGTCTCAGAAATGTCAGCAATGGCGAAATTAGTAGGCAGAACATTAAGAGGGATATGACTATGCTTCATTTTCTTTTTATTTATTTATTTACTTTTGAGACAGAGTTTTACCCTTGTTGCCCAGGCTGGAGGGCAGTGGCGTGATCTTGGCTCACTGTAACCTCTGCCTCCCGGATTCAAGTGATTCTCCTGCCTCAGTCTCCCCAATAGGCAGGATTACAGGCACCCACCACCACGACCAGCTAATTTTTTGATATTTTTAGTACAGATAGGGTTTCACCACACTGGCCAGGCTGGTCTCTAACTCCTGACCTCAGATGATCCTCCTGCTTCAGCCTCCCAAACTGCTGGAATTATAGGTATGAGCCACCAGGCCTGGCCTTCATGTTCTTAACAATAAAATACAGAAAATGAAAGTAGACCCTTATCTCATGCCATATATAAACATCAACTCAAAATAGGATAAAGATTTATATGTAAGACCTGAAACTGTAAAACTACCAGAAAAAAACATTGGGGGAAAGCTTCATGACACTGGTCTGGAAAGTGATTTAGATATGAGTCCAGAAGCACAGGCAACAAAATCTAAAGTAGACAAACAGAATTGCATTAAAATAAAAAGCTGTGTCCATTTGCCTTGATACCAGCGGCGACATGTCGGGGTATACTCCGGATGAGAAACTGCGGCAGCAGCAGCTGCGAGCGCTGAGAAGGCAATGGCTAAAGGACCAGGAGCTGAGCCCTCGGGAACCGGTGCTGCCCCCAGAGGCGAAGTGGCCTATGGACATATTCTGGGATAAGTTTTTGGCAAATAAGTCCCCTTGGAGGAACATGGTCTATAAGGTATACCGAAAGAGTATGTTTTTTTTTACTTGTGTACTTATACCTGCCTGGATTGTTCATTATTACGTGAAATATCATGTGGCTACAAAACCATATGCCATCGTTCACTCAAAGCCCAGAATATTCCCAGGTGATACAATTGTGGAGACTGGAGAAGTAATTCCACCAATGAAAGAATTTCCTGATCAACATCATTAAAGATTATATAAAAATTTAAAAGGCTTATGAGCCTAAGTTTGTTCCTACATTACCATATTTACCGAATTTTCTGGAAGAGTGACTTAATAAAGTTTAATCTCAGAAAAAAAAAATAAAAAATAAAAAATAAAAATAAAAAGCTGTACGGCAAAGCAAAAAATCAACAGAGTGAAGAGACAACCTACCCAGTGGGAGAAAATATGTACAAACCATACATCTGACCAGGGGTTAATATCCAAAATACATAAAGAGCTCTAACAACTCAGTAGCAAGGAAAGCAAACAACCTGATTTCTAAAATGGACAAAGGGCCGTGTGCAGTGACTCACGCCTGTAATCCCAGCACTTTGGGAGGCCAAGGCAGGCAGATCACTTGAGGTCAGGAGTATGAGACCAGCCTGGCCAACGTGGTGAAACTCCATCTCTACTAAAAACACAAAAATTAGCCGGGCACGGTGGTGTGCGCCTGTTCTCCCAGCTACTGGGGAGGCTGAGGCAGGAGAATCACTTGAATCCAGGAGGCCAAGTCAGGAGAAAAGGTTCAAAAAAGGAGTCTGTACTATTAATTTCACTAGGACGTCAGAAGAGACATAGGATTTTAGTTCTGAACTTATGAATATGTGAAACTAGGGGTGATGGAAATAAATATTTAGCCATTTTCCTAGTTGTCTTTTTATAAAGGTTAACAGTTTCATACTGAATTAAATTTAAAATGAACATATTTAACCTGTTTGTTAAATAATGTAAAGAAAAAATATTGCCGGGCGCGGTGGCTCATGCCTATAATCCCAGCACTTTGGGAGCCCGAGGCGGGTGGATCACGAGGTCGAGAGATCGAGACCATCCTGGTCAACAAGGTGAAACTCCATCTCTACTAAAAATACAAAAAAATTAGCCGGGCATGGTGGCACGTGCCTGTAATCCCAGCTACTCAGGAGGCTGAGGCAGGAGAATTGCCTGAACCCAGGAGGCGGAGGTTGCGGTGAGCCGAGACCGCGCCATTGCACTCCAGCCTGGGTAACAAGAGCGAAACTCCGTCTCAGAAAAAATAAATAAATAAAAAATAATAATAATAATGAGGAGAGAAATGGAAGATATTTTTAAAAGACCAAAATGGAACTTCTTGAGATGAAAAATACAATATCTGAAATGAAAAATACACTGGATGGAGCTTCTGCCTCTGGGAGGATGGGGTAGATGTACTTTCACCCCTCCCAGAACAACCATAAACCCTGAAAATTATTTATTGAACATAAGGAGACTTTGAAAGGTGGAGAAAAGAAAACAGACTGGGTAGAAACCTCAAGACCCAAGAAACAGCAAAGTGGTGAGTTTTCTGAGTTTTCTTTTTGCTTCATTTATTCCACACTTTGAGCTGAAGAAACCAGCAACCAGGAAATTTGGTGCCAACGGGCACAGACCAAAAAAGAAAAGCGCCAGCAAAGCCTGTTTCTGCCAGCCAGAGTCTGCACGACAGGAACTTTTAGCCACATGACTGGGTGCCTAGATTAAACTTTGTTCCGGGTGGTTGGTGAGGTGTTTCTGGGTGAGACTAGCTTTTGATCCATGGACTCAGTAAAGCAGATTACTCTCCCCAGTGTGGGTGGGCATCATCCAATCTGTTGCGGGTCTGAATGGAACAGAAACGCAAAGAAGGAACAAATGTCCCTGTTTTGCTTCCTGCCTACCCTACCTGAGCTGACCCATCAGTCTTCTCCTGCTCTTGGACCGGAATTTACACCACCACCTCCCTTGGTTCTCAGGCTTTCAGACTCAGACTAGCTTTATGCCACAGACTTTCCTGGGGCTCTTGTCTGCAGATGGCAGATCATGGGATTTCTCAGCTCCATAATCACATAAACCCATTTATACATATATTCCTTTGGTTCTATTTCTCTGGAGAACTCTATTGCAGTGGCCCTACCCCCGCCCATGCCAAAATTAAGTGGGAAACCTAGACTTCCACTCTCAAGTTTGTAACAGGCCACCCCAATACCCCTTCCAGAGTGCTGTCACACAAGGCCAAGTAGGGAACTGGGACTTGTCCCAGCCCTCCTCTCTATGTGCGTGGTGGCAATAAAGACTGTGGTGTCCACGGGGAACCTGGATATCCATCTGGCAGAAATGAGGCACCCCTCTGCCTTCCTGCTCGGGTGGTTCAGAGGAGGCCTGGTAGAGAGTCAGGACTTTCACCATCACCCACCGGTAATGTCACCTCCGCCACGGTATCAGTGGAGACCATGTGGGGCTGGAACACGCACCCCTATCCAGCAATAAAGAGGAGGTCTATGCCACTTGAGTGTCAACAGAGGTTCTGTGGGAAATCTAAAGTTCTGCCTTCACCTGGCAGCAATGAAATGACATCCCCTCTCATGCCAAAGTAGTGTCCAGAGAAAGTTAGTTAAAATGAAAGTTTTAAATTAAGATCCAAAGTCTTATAACATAATTCAAAAATGTCCAGATCTCAGACTGAATGAAAAAAGACAACAGATGTCAACACTGAGATGGCAGCTGTGTTAGAACCTCTGACCAATATTTAAAGCAGCTATGAGAGAAATGCTTCAAGAAGCAATTAGGAGCACACCTAAAAAAAGTGAAAAAATATAAAACTTCAGCAAAGAAACAGAAGACATAAGGAAAAACCAAATAGAAATATTAAAACTATAAAATACAATAACCAAATAGAAAAGCTCCGTGGACAGGCTCAATGGAAGAATAAAGAGAACAAAGGGAAGAATCAGCATACAGTAAGGCAAAACAATAGAAACAACTCAATCTGAACGACAGAGACACTAGAGTGAGAAAATGAACAGCGCCCCAGGTACCTGAGAGTCTGTAACAAGAGACCTAACATTCCTGTCACTGGAGTCCCAGAAGAAGGAACAAAAGAAGGCAGGGCTGAAAAAGTACACCACGAAATAATGACTGAGAACTTCCCAAGTTTGTCAACAGACATAAACATAGTGATTCAAAAAGATGAGGAAGGACTGGTAAAGTGGTTCACGCCGGTAATCCCAGCACTTTGGGAGGCAGAGGAAGGCAGAATACTTGAGCCCAGGAGTTTAAGACCAGCCCAGGAAACGTGGTAAAGCCCCATCTCTAAACACACACACAAAACACACACACACACACACACACACACACACACACACACACACAGTTAACCAAATATGGTGGCATACACCTGTGGTCCCAGCTGTTAGAGGATCACTCGAGCCCAGGAAGTCAAGGCTGCAGTGAGCTGTGATCACACCACTGCACTCCAGCCTGGGCAACAGAGTGAGACTCTGTCTCAGAAAAAAGAAAAAAAAAATGATGAGGAAACCTTAACCAAGATAAACCCAAATAATCTGTGCTAAGACACATTAAAATTAAACTTCTGAAATCAGACAAAGAAAAAAACTCTTGAAAATGTCACCATAATTAGGCCGGGTGCGGTGGCTCAAGCCTGTAATCCCAGCACTTTGGGAGGCCGAGGCGGGTGGATCACGAGGTCAAGAGATCGAGACCATCCTGGTCAACATGGTGAAACCCCGTCTCTACTTTTGTAAAAATACAAAAAATTAGCTGGGCATGGTGGCGTGTGCCTGTAATCCCAGCGACTCAGGAGGCTGGGGCAGGAGAATTGCCTGAACTCGGGAGGCGGAGGTTGCGGTGAGCCGAGATCGCGCCATTGCACTCCAGCCTGCGTAACAAGAGCGAAACTCCGTCTCAAAAAAAAGAAAAAGAAAATGTCACCATAAGGGAACAAACAATTCAATGACAATGCATTTCTCATCAGAAATCATGGAGGCCAGAAGGAATGGCTACAATATTTTTCAAAGGCTGAAGGAAAATAACAGTCAACTCAAAATTCTATACCCAGAAAGAAATAGAATTCTATACACAGAAAGAAATACCCTCCAGGAATGAAGAGGAAAGTAAGACACTACCAACAGTTTTCTTAGGAAAATGAAAAGAGTTTGTCAACAGTAGACCTACTCTAAAAGTGGCTCAATGATTCTCTAAATGGAAAGGAAACAATGAAAAAAGAAATCTTGGAACATTAGGAAGAAAAAACAGCCAAAAAAATATGGGTAAAAGCAATAGACTTTTCTTCTATTGAATTTTCTAAACTATGTTTGACAGTTGAAGCAAATATGACATTGTGTGATTTTATTCCAAAGGTATGTAGAGGGAATATTTTTAAAAATTACAAATTAGGCCAGGTGCAGTGGCTCACGCCTATAATCCTAGCACTCTGGGAGGCCAAGACGGGTGGATCACAAGGTCAAGAGATCGAGACCATCCTGGTTAACATGGTGAAACCCCGTCTCTACTAAAAATACAAAAATCAGCTGGGCATGGTGGCGCAGGCCTATAGTCCCAGCTACTTGGGAGGCTGAGGCAGGAGAATTGCTTGAACCCAGGAGGCGGAGGTCACAGTGAGCCGAGATCGTGCCATTGCACTCCAGCCTGGGTAACAAGAGCAAAACTTCATCTCAAAAAAAAAAATTATAAATTAGAGAGGGAACAGGGACAAAGAGAGGTAGGGTTTCCATACTTCACTCAGACTGGTAAAATAATGACAACAGTAGGCTATAATAAGTTATATGTACATATCTAGAACAATCAATAAGAAAGCTATACAAATATACTCAAAAACACTCTAGAAAGTGCTCACTTCAGCAGCACGTATATTAAAATTGGAATGATACAGAGATTAGCATGGCCTTTGTGCAAGGATGCCATGCAAATTTGTGAAGCACTCTCTATATTTTTTTTAAACGCCACAGATAAATCAAAATAGAATTCTAAAAAAATGTGCAAGTAATCTTCAGGAGGTAGGAAAAAGAAAACAAACAAAAATCAGAAAAAACAAACAACAAACAATGGCAGACTTAAGCCCTAACATACCAATAACTACATAAAGATTAGTAGAATGAATTTAAAAACATGACCCTAACCATGTACTGTCTACAGAAAACTTACTTTAAATATAATGATATAGGCAGGCTAACAGTAAAAGGATGGAGAAAGTTGTATCATACAGACATTAACCAAATTAGCCAGACTTATTGGCAGGCACCTGTAATCGAAGCTACTCAGGAGGCTAAGGCAGGAGAATCACTTGAACCTCGGAGGCAGAGGTTGCAGTGACCCGAGACTGTGCCTCTGCACTCCAGCCTGGGTGACAGAGCAAGACTCTGTCTAAATAAATAAATAAATAAATAAGTGGTGGCTCACACCTGTAATCCCAGCACTTTGGGAGGCCGAGGCAGGCAGATCACTTGAGGTTAGGAGTTCGAGACCAGCCTGGCCAACATGGTGAAGCCTCATCTGTACTAAAAAATACAAAAATTATCCAGACATGGTGGTGGGTACCTGCAATCCCAGCTACTCAGGAGGATGAAGCACAAAAATTGCTTGAACCAGGGAGGCAGAGGTTGCAGTGAGCCAAGATCATGCCACTATACTCCAGCCTGGGTGATGGAGTGAGACTCTCAATAAAAGACAAACATTAATCAAAGGAAAGCAAAAATGGTTATATTAATATCAGATAAAGTAAACTTCAAAGCAAAGAGAATTATCAGAGACAAAAAAGATAATCATATAATGATAATAAGGGTCGGCTGGGTGGGATGGCTCATGCCTGTAATAGGTGGGCAGATCACAAGTTCAGGAGATCAAGACCAGCCTGACCAACATGGTAAACCACATCTCTACTGAAAACACAAAAATTAGCCAGGCATGGTGGTGGGCACCTGTAACCCCAGCTACTCAGGAGGCTGAGGCAGTGAATCGCTTGAACACAGGAGGCGGAGGTTGCAGTGAGCCAAGATTGCACCATTGCACTCTAGCCTGGGTAACAAGAGCGAAACTCCATCTCAAAAACAATCAAACAAAAAAAAACCTTGAACACCCTGAGTGTGCAAAGGCACACGCCTGAAGTCTCAGCTTCTCAGATGGCTGAGGCAAGAGGATTGCATAAACCCAGGGATTCCACTGGATGATTTAAAAAAAAAAAAAAAAAAAAAAAGACTTCTGAAATACATTGAACTGAATAAAAATGAAGACACAACATACCAAAATTTATATCACACAGCCAAAGCAGTGCTGAGGGAAAATTATAGTATTAAATGTATACATTAGGAAAACTGAAAAGTCCAACATCAATAATCTAAATTCTCACCTCAAGAACTTAGAAAAATAAGAGCAAACTAAACCAAAGCAAGCATGAGCAAGGAATAATGAAGAACAGAAATTAATGAGATTTACTTTTTAAAAATCAATGAACAAAATCAATAAAACAACTGTTTCTTTGAAAAAAAAATATTAAAATTGACAAGCCACTAGCAAAACAGATGAAAAACAAAAAGATACAAATTACCAATATGAGGAATGAAATGGCATGTCACTATAAACATCAAAAGGATAAGGGAATACCATGGATCTATACACATAAATTGACAACTCAGATAAAATGAACCAAATTGAAAAGCACAAATACCACAATGAACCCAATATAAAATGTATAATTTAAATAGCTCTGTAACTATGAAGGAAATTAAATTTATAATTTAAAACTTCTCCCACTCCGTAGGAAAAGAAATCTCCAGGGTCAGATAGTTTCGCTGGAGAATTCTACCAAATGTCTAAAGAAGAATTAACACCAATTCTACATAATAGAAATAGAAGAGGAAAGAACATCTACCAATTCGTTGTATGAAGCCAATATTACCCTGAGGGGGTAAAAGACAAAACAGTATAAAATACGCTAAGTACAAACCAACATCTCTCATGAATATAGATGCAAAACGCATTAACAAAGTGTCAGGACATAGATCTCAGTAATGTATAAAAAGCATTACACAAATTAGCTGGGCATAGTGGCGCGTGCCTGTAATCCCAGCTACTCAGGAGGCTGAGGCAGGAGAATTGCCTGAGCCCAGGAGGCGGAGGTTGCGGTGAGCCGAGATCGAGACATTGCACTCCA